CTGTGAGGGACTCAGACCTGTCCAGTGTCTCTGTGATGGACTGAGACATGTCCATGTGTCTCTATGATGGACTGAGACATGTCCATGTGTCTCTGATGGACTGAGACATGTCCATGTGTCTCTGTGATGGACTGAGACATGTCCATGTGTCTCTATGATGGACTGAGACATGTCCATGTGTCTCTGTGATGGACTGAGACATGTCCATGTGTCCCTGTGATGGACTGAGACATGTCCATGTGTCTCCGTGATGGAAAACATTTTGAGGAGCTTTGAAAGCTTCTGTGAGTTTTCAAAGTTAAAGCATCGAGCAGCAGGACGCTTTGGGTTGATAGTTTCAAAATAAAAGCATGGCGACCAGCAGCTGCTTCTGCTCGTGTTGGCTTCAGAACTCAGCAGAATTGATTAAAGTTTCAGTTTGTGACTGTCAGAGTGAGCAACACGTTCACCAGTCTGCACTAAATGTTGCTGAAACTCCAGGTGGGACCAGCTCTTTGTGTTTCTCAGCTTTAGAGATGGAATGAGGCTAAAACTGCTCGTGTTTAAATCCTTAAATCTTTCTTGTTCCTTTGAAGACGTCGAAGGTTTGTGGTGTTCCAGCGTGCCGCTGCTTGTTTGATGCTACATTAAAGTCATCATGTTCTACATTTCTATAAATCACGGGACATGTAGGCTGTCCTCTTCCACTGGCCTTTGTTTGGAGCGATGACGAGAGGCGCCGAGGCTGAAGGAAGACAGGTGATGACGGCTCTTTTGTTCTACCTGTGTGAGCGAACCTGGCATCAGACACACGTTACTTTTATCTTGGCGGTGCTGACTGACTGTCAGACCGGCTCGTTCCAAACATGAAAATCACAAAGACAGGCAGAATCTGGCCCTCGTTGTTTGACTGTGTTTTACTGGTAAATGTTCGGCTGCCGTTCGGCTGCTGTCACCACTGCCTTCTTTCAGCTGTTCCCTCTTCAGTCCTCCTCATGTCCTCTCTAACTGCGTCCACATGTCTCCTCTTTGTGTTTTCCTGGCAGCTGCATGTCTAACATCCTTCTACCAGAGTGAACCAAATATGAGAGCAGACAGTGGCTGTCAACATGAATAAACAACAAACACTCTGTCAGAAACAAACCAGATCACTGAAACATTCTGAGTTACATCCAACCAATCAAACACCAGGAAACCTCGCTCTCTGCCTCCACCTTCTGGCTCTTTCAAAGACGAGTCACGTTAACGACTTCTAAAGCAGCTCCACAGATACGTGCAGAACACAGAATGTTAACAACTGCTCTGACCTACAGCTTGGGACAAACTTTATTCTGCAGGATAAAATATATATTTATGTACAAACTAACTGTCAACTGTCACATTTTACTCAAAGTGATTATGTTGAATTTAATCAGCTGTGATTAGTTCTGTTTTTGTCTCATGTTGCTTTAAAACAACAAACAGCTGTAGTAACTCTGTGCAGTAACTCTGTGCAGTAACTCGATGCAGTAACTCTGTGCAGTAACTCGATGCAGTAACTCTGTGCAGTAACTCGATGCAGTAACCCTGTGCAGTAACTCGATNGGACTGAGACATGTCCATGTGTCTCTGTGATGGACTGAGACATGTCCATGTGTCCTAGCCTCTTGTACAGTGACCCCAGGGGGTCGACTCCAGCTCAGCCACAGTTCTGCATGTGAAATCAGGTAAAAATGGATGGATGGATGGATGGATGGATGGATGGATGGATGGATGGATGTATGGATGGATGGATGGATGGATGGATGGATAGATGGATGGATGTATGGATGGATGGATGGATGGATGGATGGATGTATGGATGGATGGATGGATGGATGGATGGATGGTTTGACTGTAAGGCAAGATGTTCAACCTCAGTGATTTTAAATGAGCTATAGAAATGCTGGCAGATCAACAAACAACAGAAGTTTGAAGGATCATGTGCTGATCAAAT